AGAAGCTTAAATAGAAATAAAAAGAAAAGAAGGATGGTATTAAAAATATATACATGTTGACCTTAGAATATGTCTATACATTCTCCACATTTCAGAACATAAACCTTGGATTTTCTATTAATTAATCTTTTCTGATATATCTTTTCAGGATGTTCCAGCCTCTTTGATGCAGCTCTACATTTTAAAGATTTTTAAACAGTGTCTTAGTGGGACCTATCTGCAACCATGGACAAGTGCTTCCATGTAACCAGTCTGTCGTTAGGGGGTTTCCTTGATTGTACTGCTCTGAGGGTCTAACTGCTACCACTTAGTATATTACTGTCTTCGGAGTTTTGCTGTTTAAGTAGAACTGTGTAATCGAATCACCTTAGTAGGATGTATGAGACTTTGGCCGAGAAATTTTCTGCACAAGACAAATGCAATGGTAAGGACCATAAAAACAAATGCAATTAGAAAGATTTCTACTGAAGATCAGGAAACTGAAGCAAAATATAAATATGCATAAAATGACAGAGCTTCCTATATTTAAATGATGCAAGTTTTTAATTTACATTTGAAGTAGTAAAAATAACATTTTCTGATACATTTTGGAAGAAGATATCACCTCTGTGTTCCAAGATGTACTGTTATTAGAGCGACTTTTACAATACAGTAATTTTACTGTACAGCATTTTTTAAGGCTCAACAAAACAGTATTCTTTCAAAACTGATTAAAGACATGCATTCCACACTACAACATTGTAACTTATCCATCTTCCAAGTACTTATGAGTCATCTTTGACTTCTTGCTCACATTTCCTCAAACACATTCTTTTAGAATATGTTGAAACTACAGGAAGAATGCAAGCTCTGCAAAAAGTTGAGACCTTTAAAACAAATTTCTTTTTATACAGTTATTACATAAAACAAAATATAGTATTTCTATTGATTATAGTACACTCATGGGTATCTCGTTAAGAATTCTCATCTATACTACAGTTGGATCATTCAAAAAAAACACAGACACGCAAGGGGAAACCGCATAGAGACCTCAAGAATAATTTCAATTTCTTCACCCTCATGTCTTTAATATTAATCTGAGACATCACGGGCTTTCTGAGACAGCTGCAAGGGACCAGCAGATATGACAAGAGCTATGAGAGACCTGTGTCCTTCTACGGTTATAGCTGGAGCCAAGCAGCATATTGTAGGACATATCCAGTATTCCTATATGCAGGCAACTGGATTCTGCTATGAGTTTCTGATTAGCTTTTTGGAGAAAAGCTGTCTATTTAGTTTGGAAATAATGGATTTGGATTTCTTAAGGGTACATTTTAGAAGCTAGTCTAAGTATGCAATGTCCTATCTTCTGTTTTCCTCCTCTACATTTTTTTAAGGTATGATTTAATACTTCGAAACAAAAATTTTTTTAAACTCAAAGTCTCTTAGCTAAGAATAAAAGTGAAATAGGAGAGCGTTCTGGAAGAAAATACAGCCAAGGGAGAAAGAAATTAAGTACTCTCTCTCCTCCTGCCCCAAGTTTGTCCTGCTCTGAATTACTGTATTTATGAAAAAAATCACCCACTTCTTATGCTAAAAAGACAACCCTCTGACAAATCGGACTTTCTTACCTCTCTCTGAGTAACTGTTTCCATGATGGTCCCAAAAGCGGGAATCGTTGCAATCCTCACTGAACTACAAGAGAAAAAATAGTGTTTTAAAATATACTAAGCACCAAGAACAAAAAGGAATTGAAAATAAAGCAAACCCAGGTTTAGTACTTTAAGATACATTAGTTTCTAGCAATGACAAAAGAAATACATAAAAAAAGCAGACCAGGAAAAAGACAGACAGGATTAACTCAAGGTCTCATTCTGAAACTCACAATTCAGGATCACTGGACAAGGTAACAAGGGCCGGAGCAACCCGCTTGTCAACTAAGGCTTCACTCATGCCTCGAAGAGTCAGCTGTAAACCAGTCAACATGCAATAAAAAACGGTTTGGTAAACTGGAAGGAGAACTGGGTTAGCTGTGACTGAGGATGGGCAGGCAGACTCTTGGGTTTTTCTTGGTTTAGTCACCCACACAAGACATTAAAATGATTAAGACTCTAATCATGCTCTAGTATTTTTTGGTAATAACCTGTTAGTCAGATTAGCAAAGCATCCCTCCTTAGCTTGAAAGAAATACCACATCAGAATGCTATGTCAAACACACGTCAAACATACGTCAAAGTACTGTGGTTGCTTCTCAGAAACCAGATACAGCCAAGATAATTTCCTTCTTCAATACTGCAGATACTACTGTAAGTTTGCAAGAGTAAACTTGATAGCTTTACAGAATACATTCATATTCATCTTGCTGCTAGAAGTTATTATTTAAGCGTATTTAAAATTTGAGAATATTAACATAAAAGTTTATCTAAAATTAAGCTTTTATGGATTACATTTTTATCTAAAAATTTATTCAGTCATTTAATCCAGTTCAGTTCTAGATGTTGCAATCAACCTTCTTATTTACAAATAAATGGTTTGAAAGTTACACGTGCTTAAAAGTAACTCAATTTTGGTTCAACCAGAGTAAGAAGCAGGACTGATGGTTATTTCTTCCTAAGTGTTAAGAGGGATGCTGGATGTATAAAGACAGTCAGGAAACTTACATTTCAGGGTCACTGGAGAGAGTAATGAGAGCAGGAACAACTCTCTGAGCTACGAGAGTCTCATGTACCCCCTTCACCAACAGCTGAATGGTCGGAGCAGGGGGAATGTCACAGGTGACGCACGGAAAGAGGGAGCACAGTATCACGGGAAGAAGAACGGCACAACCAAGACAGAGAAAGAAAAAAAACACAAAAAGCAAACCAAAATTAGAAGCTAAGCAAATACTGCTATACTAGAGCTTCGTATGTGCAGAGACGTGAAGAAAGCTGAAGTGGCCTGGCAAGCAGCACAAACCCACCGCACTCAGCAACAGGATGGCATTTTCTCCATTTTCAGCTACTTGGAAACTCACAGGAACTCTAGCTCAAGTGTGCAGCTGTCTGGGTATCATCACCCCAAAGCTGATCGTGACAGTTCCACCTGAATGCTGACCTAATTCAGCAGAGCAGTACTGCACTGCAGTACGCGACTGCCCGCTGCCCCAGAGGCTTCTTGCCTAGATACCAGGTGTGAGGTTTTCCAGCACGGAGCAGGGGTTCCTTTTGGACTGCTCTGGCAAACGGCTGCTCTGTGCTGAGCAGCAGCTTCCCAGGCACCACTAAGCTTTCCTTGAGGGCTTTCAGAGCAGCTTAGAGCTAACAGCCATCCGAGCAGTGCATGCGAAACACCCCAACTTATCCCTGCTGGTCTAAGCGGGTAAAAACCTGATGAAATATGAATTGTTCACGGGATACATTTCAAGTTTTTCCATGTCTAAATAAGAAACGCATTTTTTGCAATGTCTCCCAAATATTAAAAAAAAAATGAGAACACTGTGAAATTTATTTTTTTACTCATAAATATTTGGAAATTCTTTAAATTTAGATTTTAAAGCATTATTTTACCTTAGTTATGAATTCTCCCTATTTTAAAAAATGACAAATCTCAAGCTCTACGTAGTATTCAACAAAATAAACAATGTTATCTGACACGGGAAAGGTGAGATATTTTCATCTTGTCCCCTCGTGTAAGGAAGTCTGCGCGTATTTGCCGTTTCTAAAGAACAAGCAGAGCTTGGCAGTAGTTTCTGGGAGGAAATTTGAAATTTATTTTTGACTACATATCAATATTATTCAAATTTCTTCATGATGGCGAATTAAATCCCTGCTTTACTAACTTCATGTTTTAAATATAGATTCATTTTTTTAAATTCAGAGTTTGTTGCAAAAAACTGCAACTCACATTTCTACAATCTTCTCATGGAAAGCCGCAGTTTTTAAGTCACATATGAGCAAGTGACAGTGTATACGTGTACGTGTCTGCACAGTGAACACATTATGACTCTACAGAGAGCAACTGGCAGAGGAAACACTGGGCAGAGCTTTGTTGAGCTGTGCAAGGCCATGGGCAATACTGTTGTAGAACTTCTGCCAGGGAAAAGCTGCAGCTTCCTGGACTTTATTGACAAAGTCTTAGAAGTGGCAGTTAAACTGCTAGACTTTAATGTTAATAAATTTCATGATTATTTGTAGTGGCATCAACTTAAAAAGTGCTGATGTGTTCAGCTTAAAGTGCTGTTAAGGAAATAACTTGCTGGTGAACTCAGAGGAGTTTGCTTTCATTCAGAGGTGTGTCGGTTTGCTCGTTGATTAATACAGGGAATAATTTCTGTTTTCTGTTCTGGCCAGCAGGGGAATCGAGCTTTCTTTACCCATCTCAGTTCAGAAAAGCCTTGTCAGTACTTCAGTGCTTTGAACAAGAATGCTTGAGATTTGTACAATTAAGAGACAATTTAGCATCGTCTCAGCTCCATGATTACATAGGTTGCCAGATTATTTGTAATTATGGCAAAGCCTGGTAAACAGCATCATCCTGTCTTACAGAAAGCACAAGGTGCTTTATAACCGAATTGTCCTTCTGAAGCTAAGTGTCCCTAACCTTAAACCCTAACAGACCAAAGCTTGCAACTCAACGATGTGCTTCATGTTCAAACCAGCAGCAGTCAAATCTGTTTGCGCCAACATCCCAACGGGAAAACACTGCTGAGAAACCTCAGCATGCAGAAGGGAAAGCAAAGCTAGATGGGCAAGGCCAGGGAGCAGCACAAGCCACGCAGGCAACATGAGGTTTTATGCTGGGCTTTGGTTCAGGCTGCTCACCTTGGGACTGCTGGTTATCCACAGCGAGCCTCCAGAAACACATAGCTCAGACTGCTCTCCCAGGAGGGAAGGGATCACTTCTGTGTCCTTCCCCCCTAAACAGGCTGCAAAGGTTTGGTAACACCATCCAGGGAGCCTAAATCAGTGCCATCTCTGTGCTGCTCTGGACTGCACTGTATATACTGTATAGCACTGCATTGCTCTGAATCTTTATAACACAGCACAGAGCTGCTCTGCTGCTGACATGCTCCTCTGTTATCCAGTATCCACTTGCTGGGGAGCAACCTCTGAGGTGTCAGAAATTCACTGAATGAAGGCATCTTCCGCAAGTAGAACAAGTTATTAGCATTTTTAGCAGCAACTCTTGCTAAATGTATTGCCATGCTACGGTTAATGGCAAGGGCAACATAATAAAAGTATTTTCAAGCGAGAAAAGTGTCTATCCTGAAGCTGCCTATACTTTAGTAGCAATTAAAATATAGTATGAAGCAAGGAGTCAAGTAGCACACAGGACTGCCTAGAAGGATCCACACGTGGTTGAAGTAGAAAAGAAACTGCAACCAGGACAAGAGCCTGTAGTAACTGAGGTCTTCCACAGATTTGTATAATGCTTATCTCAAATAAAAAGAAATGAGGCTCTAGTATTACAACTATAAAATATGAGCAGTGTTTCTATTCTATACTAAACCAATCCAAAAGTATTTTAAGGGTGACCAAAAATTGCCACCTCGTCTTTACAAGTGAAAGAGTGAACTGAAGTAACGCCACAGTGCTTAGTGCTTTATCCCCAGCGTTTCTCCGGGTGGCAGTGGAACCCACCAATGCTTACGGTTATGCTAGTGCTCTTCTTTGCAGGACAGAGCTGAGATTTGCTTTTGCAAACGGATACAAGAAGGCAGATTTGGCTAGAGGTCCATTGTAAAGCTCTTTTGGTGAGAAATTTGCAGCAGACTTGCAAAGAGAAAGGTATGAAGTATAATATAAAAGCAATGTCTTTGGAGTATGCAAAACAATAAAAGAAACAACCTCTTGGTTCTGGGATGGAATGCATCCCAGTGTTTCTGTACATGCCTTTTTAAAAAATTACCATTTGATGAAACAAAGGCATGACAAGGGAATCAAAGCAAACTCAATGACTAAAGTAACAATCATTTTCTCTGAGCAAATTTAGAGATTTTAAGAGAATGCTCACCAAAGTTGAAGTTGTCAATGTATGATTTAAATTCATATATTTACCGTAACACATAATTGATTAAATATATGCTTTTACCACCAGATCCGTCACCAGTGAATCACAGGCAGACAGACCAGGACTAAACAAAGAGAGTATTGAAAATTGGTAGCTTGATAATTAGGCTTGCTTATATTTACTAACAGACTTAAGCAAACACATTTGACAAAATACTGACATCTGGTTTGAACACATCTCGGCAATGTAATACTTCTTCATAATCACCAAGTGGTTTTTGGCATGCAGTAATCAGTATGCAACAGTCAAGGCAGTAGCAGATCCAACACCACATACACAGTTGCTGCAGAAAAGCTTGCAGTGGCTTAATGAAATCAACACTGTTGAACAGAGACTGGACACAAAAGCAGTCACACAACACTAGCTTCCTGCTCCATCACACAGTACACAACCTCTTTAAATTGCTTACAATATTACGTGCGTAGAAACATTATCTCAATTATTGCTTAAAAACACAACAAATAGAAAACCCCAACATACTGCAGCTTTAAAAAGCTTGGCTATCACTTACCTCAAACATTCTAGCAGCTGTGCAGCGAACAAGAGCTGAAGTATGGACAACTCCATACCATAAGACAGTTAACAGCAACTCATGGTATGCTGGGTTCGCACTAGAAGAAAAAAGATCAAAAAAGATATTCCCCTAGTCTCTAGAAAGATCCTATATCTACAAAACTAAAGTCTTAAACTTTAGTCTCAAAAGTCCATTGCTTAAAAGTCTAAAATTTAGAAGTTTATCCTTTTTAAAAGTCTTACATAAAATACAACATTTACAGTTGCCGTCTATAAAAATAGGTTGTGTTTCGAAGTTTATTCTTAAAAAAAACAACTCTAAGAACAGTATTTACAATAAATTATGACACTGAATTGAATGTGAATAGCCATCTAGAACATCAGATAACAATATGGTGAATAATAGATTAATTCCTATTTAATGCTTAATATGACTGATGTATTAATTTTTACACCTTTTATTTTTTTTTCCTCAACTACTTCATTGCTAAACTATAGTTTCATGAAATATTCGCTTTTAATCTATACGGACAAAATGTAAGAACACTATTTGCTTCAAGTATCACAGTTACTAAAATTACAGTCAAAAACATGTTATGAGCTTTTAATAAAAGATGTTAGTGTACTTAGGTCTAGTGAATTCCAAGGGATACTCCTTACCCCAGTTCCACAAAAGAAGCTTTCAGGCTATCAAGAGGAGCATGGGATAGTGAGAGCATGGTCATCACATCTTCTAAAAAGCCAACTAACAGCTTGCGGTCTTCTTCCTAAAATAAAAGCAGACCACATGAAATGGGGCAGAAGTATTGCTACAGCCCCAACGACCTAAAGCTACGAAAAAGACAAAGTTTTTGAGCAGACTGAGCCTTTCTGATTGTTCACCACACATGAATGTTCATCGCACATTTGTGAGACAATGAAGGATTTATTTTTTTCTATGAGCCAGCACTATATGCCAGGCAGTATCTACTAGTTATTGAGAAATTACTGTATTTCAGTACTGCACAACACCATTTGAGGATTCAAGGTGTGCCTAAAACAGCACTTTACTCACAGCATTTACTTGCTTATCTGGTTCAGAGAACGGTAAAAAATTATTGTTTATAAGGGCTACAGCTAAATGTTCGAGTCCTATTTACTGAACTGGATTAATAGCTTTGATAAAGACACATGATAGCATCACAGAGTTAACAGTGGTCAAGATACCTGACTGTCTTATGATCTACTGACTCCAGATTTTAAAGGTGGAAACTATAATCTAAACAAATATGATTATCATCTAAACAACTTGAATAATTAACATGGCCTTTCAATGTGTTAAAGCTACCTATTCATTCAAATATCTGCACAGTCCAAGGAGACTAAAGGTTTTCAAAGACTTTTTTTTTGTTTTTTTTTTTTTTAAAGTTTCTACTAACCAGTGAAACTTCTTAAGAAATTAAGAAAACCAACAAACCTACCTGAATGTAACATGTAAGGACCCCTGTTGCATAGATGGGAACTGTGGCTTTCGTCAGCACTCCATTACCTGCTATGGAATCTAATCAAACATTGAATATTTATTCATATATAAATATATATTTTTAAGAATTTTTATATTTTACATACACACAGAGGTGTATGAACAATTTATTTATATATATAAACACATAAATTCATACACATATATCTGCATGCCAAAAATGATGTTTGAAGGGAATTCTGTTTTGAGATTTTTTCTATGTTTATGTAATGTCCAATTTTAAAGTCTTCCATCACGATTAAGATTATATGGTTCATCATTTAAGAAAATGACAAACTTGAGAACTCTAGTACAGCTGGGATGTCATTTGGACAAAGGGTTGACAATTTCTAATTTTTTTTCTGCAGTTGAAGATCAATTTTTGTTAATTTCAGCAAAAAGCTACTTACCTATGTTTTCTTCAGACAGTCTTAAGATTTCCTGGAACTGTGGTTTGACCTATACAAAAGATGATGAATCCCATTTAAGAATGCCTTTTACCAACATCAATCAACTTATAAAAAGATAAGAAGCAAAAACCAGAAAATAGGAAGGGAGGGGAAATGCTTAGAGAACAGAGCCTGGTTTTGTCAAAATTGGAAATAGGACGTAAGAGAATAAAAACTTCTACTGCGTACCTACAATGAAGTAGCATTTACCACTCCTGATATCAAGAGTTGAAGTCTCTTGGCAGTTTTAACTCAACTGGGCTTTAAGGTTTACAGCTCCACAAAGCTTTATGTAAAAAGTGCTTTTTGTTTGTACATCTTTGCTGATGTCAATGAAGCTCTCTTCAAAACACAGGTATGATGATTAGTATCAAGACATTTCTATAAAAGCTTTAGTTCTCAAGATACAGAAGTGGCTTTCAAAGCTTGGAGCTTGGTATTAGTCTTCTCTATAAATGCAGTACAAAGTACTAGCCTGTTTTGTGTTATGATCTTCAGGTAACCCCCTAGCGTTTCAGCATTTCCTTTCAGAATATTTTCCAATGAATATTTAGAAGATGTTTCATTGAGAAAAATGATTTGTTTCCTTGATAAAACTTTTCATACATCATTAACAGAAAATACACTGAGCAGGGAGAGTATTCAATTTCTATTACCAATCAAGTACAGGCTGAAGTATTATACATGTGACAAACCCCAGAAAATATGCCGTTCGTAAAGAAGCAAATTGTAAAATCATTAGAATTAGGACAATTTCTCCCACTCTGTATGCTGTTCAGATGGCAAATACGAAAAGCACAGTTAAAAATATCCTTGCCTCAATGCCTGTTGGACAGGATGAAAAGGACATTCCCAAATTGTCAGTGGATGAAGACAAAATACAAAAGGATGTGAGCAGAGTTTAAAGCAGCAAATTTGGAAGTATGAACGGGAAGGCACTGATATGACAAGCAAATATAAATGGTCACATAAAACTTCTCTATTCACACATACCATGAGTGTGGATAATTTATATCACCACAACATTCTTTTGGTAGAATATTTGAGGCATTGTCTTACCTTAGTGTTCGTAAAAATTTTCCCAAATGTCCTACAAAGTCGCCAGAAAAATCTAGAGAATTCATGGACACAGGCAGTTGAGGCTACATTGATCTTGCCAACTATTTCGATAAGCCGTGGTAACCTAAAAATCAGGAAACAAAAGCATATTAACTACCACTTTGATCTTTTTTTTCTCTCCAAGTTTATTGTGTGTGTGTGTATATATATATATAAAATTGTGTGCATATATATATAAAATTTGTACTAGTAATTATACATATTTAACCTCATTGGTTCTAATTATGTGTATATTCTCTACAAGTCCTGACACTTGAAGAGGGTTTGAATGCCAGAAAGGTCTGACCTATATTTCCCAACATCTGTTACTGTAGGAAACTCTTGCTTCTACATGAAACACTCAGAGTGAAAGAAAGTTTACTTGAACAGAGAATGGGCTACACCACTGTAAAGCTGAAAGTAAGTTTTCTTGGAGCAACTAATTACCTACTTGATCCACTATATAGCTGGTATTTCCTGAATAAAATTAAGGTAAGTACCTTCCCTGTAGGAAATTTTAAAGCCAAAGAAATTCTGTCTTTTCCTCTTTCAAGCCTAATGGCAATTAAATAAAACCAGACTTCTATTTTAATAACTGTTAAACACAGTCATGCATAAAAACCACTCAAAATTTTACACACTTCGATACTAGAAGCCAGAAGATGCAAACTAACTCACAGCTGATTGACAACCCAGAGCAAAGTCTCCCATCCGGTGGTACCCTCATGTTCCAGCTGATAGTCATAAAGCTGCAGCAGGGCTGCTAATTGCTCACGGCTTCCAATGATGGTTGCCACATCCTGAAGAGGTGACACAGGTCGGGGAAATCGAGTCACTGAAACACCACAGAACAAGCAATCACCAACACAAATGCTGAAAATACCTTGGAAGCGATGTCAATACAGACAGCAAAGAAAATTTGAAACCTTTTAGTAGCCTCGCTTTTTACATGAGAAAATGCAGCCACAGGGGGATTATGGAAGACTCCAGAGTACGCTCTAAGTTTAGAGCAGAATGACTAGGAAGCAAGGCCCCTTGACTTCTAATGCTACACTTTCATCAGCCTACTTCAACCTTTAGAACCTGGCCTTTATAATATAAGGATTTTGACACTGCCACCCTCCTAAGCTTCTTAACTATTCAAATGATCAGAAGATAAAAATTTACAGATAAAAAGCAAAACCTCACAAGATTCTGGACAATTTAAGTATCTGGGGACTGAAGGCCTGCTACACCAGGAACATTTTATAATTACATGGCTTCTACTATTCTCAATTTATCTCAATCATATATCCAAGAATTCAGCCATGAGGTTAAAAGACATCATAATCTTTCCTACAGTTCTGGCAACTGTTTCCTACAGTCCTAAGAACGTTACTAGGTTAGCGGAAAGCGCGAGACCTTTTTTCCTACACTTCTGTGAAAGAAGAAACCGTCAGACAGGGCTGAAGCCCGAAATTTTTGATTTCCTTATTTAAACAGTAACAGCTCGTGGAAAAAGTACTCATCTTCAGATGACTCTGGTCAGCTGAAATAGTTTAAGAGTGGCATGTATAATATTTTTACATTAATACACATAACATGATGGCAAAGTCTAAGTAAGGTTTATTTTATTTCCTCAAAGGATTTAAAAATTAGGAAAAAAACAAAAAACAAAAAAGGACAAACAAAAACACTACAGAGATAAAGAAAAACATCATATCGTCAGTCTGTGATAACAGGTTGCTTAAACATAGAAAAGAGCAGGAAAAGAAAGCATTAGTTAGGGATTTGCTGCACTACATTAATATTAGAAAGCTTTTTTTTTTTTTTTCCCCTCTTCTCCAGAATTCACTTTCTGTCCTAATACAGAACATATTTTACTGCAGGTCACTGTATAACAAATACAGAAAAAAAATGCCACTGGACAAAGAGAAGGCATTTTGCCTGCAATATGTGGCAGACATAATATTACAGGAACAATAAATGTGTTAAAGAAATTTTAGCTAAAACACATTTAGTTCTCTTTTATTTGACTGGCTGTCATTTCATGTCTTACATACTTCCTCTGTATCAGTAACCTGATACCTGTAATTAGTTAAATAACAGATAAGGCTTCAGGTCTAAGGCTGAACTATTCCACAGGGAAGGTGAGCTGAAGAAAGGGAAAATAGTTAGAGAGTTCCATCCCCCAAAAAAAGGGGGAGGTGGAGAAAAAAGAAAAAGAGAGAATGAAGAAAAACACATGACAAATTCTCCTATGATGGAATCTGGCTAAGGAGAAAAACAAAAACAAAAAACTCACAAATAACAACAACAACAGAAAATATCCTCCATCAATTCAGCCATGTTAAACAAAGAAATCCCACAAAATAAACCAATTTCATTTTTGTTCTTTGTTTCTCTGAAAATGTAGCATAAAAAAGATGAATTAGAAAAGAAGCTTGGAAACAGAAATTTAAATTATTACTGCATAGACAAGACGCTATAGAAATTTAAAATGTATATAGGAAACCAGTAACTGTTTATGTAGTAACCATAAATAGAGATTAATTCTGTTTAATGCATACTATGGTCTATTTCTGGACTTCCTCCTTTGCATTTAATTGTAATAAAGTGTTTTGAGATTTGCCACCAAATTATACTTTGTTTCTAGAACATCTTTTCAGAAATTAATCATTTACCTTCTATCTGTGGCACTTCACCCTGAAGTTTAGCTTTGCTTGTGAAAGGTGCATTCTGTAACACCAGTGCAAACAGTGAAGGAATCAATGACTGCAAAGCAGACAGATACATGTGGAGCTTATGTTCATCCAAGCCATGTTCTCCTTCCTGAAACAAAAAGATGTTTAGTTAAAGCTTTCACTTCTAATGGTCCATTGCTTATGCGTATGTTTATCATTTGCCAGGAAAGGCATCCATGAAACTTTTACACGGAAGCATTGGTTATGTCCTGATGACAACTACTCTCACAATACAGCCTTCTGCATCAAGGGCTTCATGTCCATGAACATTCTGATATTCTGAAGGAAAAACTTTCAGTACATTTTGGAAGTTTGGTTCATCGGTCTTTATCTGAAAACTGAAGAAACTGGTCACCTGTACTCTGAAAATCAGCATCTTGGCTAAGTCCATTACTATTATAATATGCTGTCACGACTTTCCAGGTATCTACCAAACCTAATTTGCAGACAAACTAACTCAGGACTCCAAAGCACTTACTAAACCATTCAATTATTCTATGTATTTTTCTTTTAATTCAATAAAATATTGCACTTTATTTAGCACTATGTGACACACAAAAACAATTTAAATATAGGTCAAATGTATTTGAAGCAACACAAAGTTTTGTTTTCTGAACACAACCAGAAACAATAGTTTTCTGAACTGCATTTTGACTACTGGGCTCTGAAACAATTTTTTTTTTTCTTCTTCCTCCTCCCCTAAAGAATAGAAGTTACAGAGCTTATGTTCCTCCCCATAGAACAAAAGTGGCAATGATTTACCTTGTCACGTTATTTTAAAAGTCTGCATAGGTAATAGAGACACAGAGAAAACTCTCCAATGTAGGAACAACTGAAGACTTACCCTGAGCAATTTTTCAATCTTATTAAGCAGTGTAGGTATAAGATGGAATTGTAAGTTTCCCAGTTCTGTAGTCCAGGCAGCGTAAGCAGGTAAAAATACTTGATGTGTTGCACTAACTACACGTTCTGAAGGATCTCCTAGAGCTGAAAGCAGCAGCTCAAAACCCTGACAAAACACAGTAAAGAATATCATTATTCTTACAAAAATTTACAAAAAAAAAAAATCCACAAAACACGCCCAGATCTGAAGTAAACTATCATCACTTTAAAAATTTTTTCATTAATAAAAAACAAGGTAGTACATAAGCGGTCTTTCAATAGCCCCAGCATGCCTTTAAAAGTAAGCAGTAGGTGGTCCAAGTCAAACACTTTTTTACCACTTTGCTTTCAAAAACTGACAGACAGGAAGAGACAAATCTTCATTTTTAATCATCTAAAACATTATTATGCAGTACAAAGATCAAGCTTTAGCCTGAAGTAATAATGATACTTAAAGTATTTCTTTTCTTTTTGGTCTTGGTGATAAAATAAAAAGCAACATTCATATAAACAAGCTAAATTTCTATGAAGTATCTCAATTTAATGAAAATATCTGAAATTATACATCCCCCTACTCATGAAATAACTACTGAATACACTTCATAGATAGAGAATCCATCCTAAATGATACCTGTTGATATTTGTCTGGATCATCAATGTATCCCATGATGATGCCAAGGCTTTTGATCACAGCTTCTCGTACCAGATCTGCCTTATCTTCCATTAGCATTTGCTGAAGCATGGAAAGTACTAATGAACTACGAATTTCCTTCTGTTTGTAAACAAGAAACATACTTGTTAAATGTGATCAAACTAGATATAATTGCTTATACCATTTTTTAGAAATGCTTGCCCTTCTACTAGGGGATTTCTATAATTATTATTCACCCAGTCCCAACACAGAAGAGGACAAATAAGAATCTAGTGTCAGTAGCCTCAGTAGAGATCCTATCCTACCAAGCACAAAACTCAGGTCTTCAACTATTATGGAAGCATGTACTGAAAACAAGTAACAGCCAAAACCTACTCTAGGCCTACACTTGGGAGAGCACTTAAAGAGAATTTGTAATCAGTCTCTTGCTAAATCAGAGAAATGGGTTTAGATTTGGCTTGCTTTCATCTTTTTACAGGAGCTCCAAATTGCAGCTAGCTACCAACTACATTTTGCCGCTTCTTTGGCTCTTGATGCCATTTACTCTTCCCCCAGGTGACTTCCTCAATTGACTCTATCTTTACTTCATCTCTACTGAAGCAAGAACAGCTTAGTCAGACCATGCTGGTTATCGAGACATTTTGCAGCTAGATTGAGCTGTCACTCTTTACAACAAGCCATTCCTTCCTTAACTTACTGACTCTCACATGCATGATATACAATGCAAGCATCCATGTAAAATGCACACTGCCCAGAACATGCAAGAAGAGAAAAGACGGTGCTGTAACACAAAGGATTGTTGCTTTGCTTTCCCTGGAGAAGAAGTAAGATGCACTATTAATACTTACAGGAAGGTAAGGTGCTAGGGCTCCACAGGATTCTGCTACCAGGAGCCGCCTCTCTGGGTATTTGTGGCTGATCTGGTAAAAAGAAATGGAATGGTTATTGGTTTTGCAGTAACCAGTATTCAAAACGTGACTCGAATGAACTGCAGTGCAGGGATAAGCCTGCATCTCTCTTTATAGACACCGGCTATGTCTGCAGAAGTGCATATGGTACTAAGCAGCCTCCAAATCCAGCACTGGGTCATAGTGAAAAGGCAGGTGTTCTCTTCTCTAGTTATCCTGCAGACTGGAGCTTATACTAAGAGCAGAATCTGCAAAGAATGTGGTCTGTACATATGTATGTACGCTAAAAAAAAAAAAGGTGCAAAATAGCTTACAGATTGCTAGACTAACATAAAACATACACTTTGAAGAATCCGAGTAACTTACAGCTGCCATTTCCCAAAATACTTGGCCTCGTAGGGCCCTTCAGGAGCACAATTCCTCTAAGAACTACACAAGTGCCCTCCAGTGATCTGAGCCCACCAGCAGAGCACAGCTGCCCAGACAGTGCTGAGCAATCTGGTCTAAGGACGACATATTTATTAGGTCAGTAATATTTGCTTGCTCCTGTATCCAAGTCCAACAGAAAAACATCTGAGATGTGACTGGAAAATGCTCCTGTTCCTGCAAATCTTTTAACCCTGCCATGTCTATCTTTCCTTTCTACTCCAAAAATTTACCTTTTCATTGAAAATTTCAAATTATTTCATTCAAAAATGTTTACTTTATGAATTTGGTATCGCTACTTCTAAAGCAAGCCTGCATCCCAATGTAGCAAGTTTTAATGGCGAGAGAAGAGCAATAATGAATGCACAACAAAACATGTGATATATTTCAATACATTTTGTGAGAAAAGAGAGAGGAAAAAGTGAATAGGTGTATCCTGTCATTTAAGACAAGGCATGCATATAGTATGATTGCTGTGCAGTGTGCATTATCACAGAAAAGGCCAAGGTACCAATTACCTACTTCACCTTGGTCCTTATTGGTAAGATTTGCTTAACAGGGTCTTGAGATCTATAGGAACATCTGGAGTAAGGAAAACCTGCTGTTGGTAGAGGACTATCAGGTTGGGGAGCATCTAAACCACCTGGACATACACAAGCCCTTTTCTAGGGATGGAAGATACCCATGGGAACTAACGGAGCTGGCCACTGTCACTGTGAGGCTGCCCTTCATAACCTGGAAAGCCGTATTAAGAACCAACCTCAGGCATGCCGTTACTACCATCCAGCATGCTGCACAGGGAAATTTGACCATCAGTGCAATATTAATATTTGCAACTTTCTCATTCTTGTGGTCTGATATCCCCAGGAAGACTCGCAAGAAGGAAGTTCTGCCAGGACCATTTGAAAGCAACTCATACGACCAAATTAGTGACCTTGGGACTAAACTGAAGTCTCAGGCACAGCAGAACCTTCTCTGAGAATGTGTTAAATGCTTGGCATTCATCCTTCAACAGGGCACAAATAGTGTTTTGGAAGCACGGAGATTTCGTAGAAGAAAAATATTATGGGCATCCATTCCTACAGTATCATTGGCTGGCTTGGCATCCTTTTTGCAATAAGATGGAAAATGCTAATAAATGCAAATTCCCTATTGGCCTTACCCCCATGCTCAGCCTTCTGAAGCTCTGCCTACCTGAGGGAAATAGAAAAAAAGACTAGTTTCACCTAAGTGAGATGGGTTGGGAAGACAATAAAAATGCCATCCCTGATATTACAAAGACATACTGACAAGCAAAAAAAAAAAAAAAAAAACAGAATATTCAAATTTCTGTAAGACTCGTGGTGAGGGAAGATTAGTCCAAAGAAAGGCTAACAAATTTAAAATGTTTATTGTATCTACCGAGAGACTGCAGAAAACCATAGTCTAAATATTTTTGAGTTCCTCCTATCTCAGTTTCACAACAATGATAATCAGCTGGTATTTGCTGGAGCTCTTTTCAATATTGCTAACAAAGTCTGGCAAAGTGCATTAAATACATGAGGTGATGGCATATGGCTTGGCAGGCTGCTATACTGCACTAGTGAAGTCGGACTGATTTCTCTGATGCCTCAGCAACTATATCAGCAAGAACCTGTTGTAAAGATGATGTGCTCTTACTGAGCTGACACTGGCACCTTTAAACAGAGCCCAAAGCATGCTGGGAGAACTGAGGAAACAGAGATGGCTTATTCTATGCTCTAGCACTACTTCTGCGGGTCTTCCATTTGATTATCTGTCACAAATAACCACAAATGCTGCTTCTATATGTACTTCTACTATCAGAAAGCACTAAAATTCTTAATGCTTGGACTTTATTGTGAAACAGAGATGCATCCTGAATGGAGGGCTGCATTTTGCAAGTGGAGAATTAGTAGACAATTATCAGACCAGAAAGATGGCACCAAAGCAAACATTACTGCTCTCTTGTGACTTATCTACTCACTGTCTTTGGGCAATGATGAACCCTCTTTTCTCCAGGGTAGGAAAATATCATGCATTCTCACCTGAACTCATGTAGCCCTGTTTCTACGCCTCAGATGAAACAGTAAGAATATTTCTGTTTGGTTGTTTGATATTTTTATTAATTCACAGTATTTGTGGAAAGGGACACACACAGATTCCAGAAGTCACAGTGTATGCTTCTGGCTGACCTTACAGGTGTGAAAGCCATGCCCACTAGAAAAGATTTTTATTTCTTTTTTTCTGGCTATTGTTAATGTAAAATACTTAAAGTGTGGACACTGCTCTGAGTACTTGCTACTTACAATATAAAAATCAGTAAATGACATTTTAGAATGAAAACAGATTTCTAAAAGGTTGGTATTTACTGCATGCAATTTATAAAAAACACCTACCTGACATGTGGAGTATTAAACAACATCAATTAAACAGTATTAGTGTGTGTACATTCTGCATTTCAATACAACATATGCAGGTATACAAAGGCAACTAGAATCTTCAGATTGTCTTTGGCTGGCTTTGAGTTCATTTCAATGTCATGTAAGTGTACATATACTGAGGCTAAAGAACATCCAAAAATCTTTCTGAAAAAGATTTTGAATCACTATTCCTTATTTTTTTTATTTTTATTTCTAAACAATCCTCCCTTGAAGAATACAAACAAACAAAAAATCCTCACCGCAATCCTGAATTTACAAAGCCGCAACTGATTTACCAGTATAAAACACAAAATATCCAGTTACCTGTTCCCAACACTGTGGTAAAAGCTCAGCTTCTACACGTGTTGGTCCAACATGTCGGGCAAACGCCACACATCCAGTCAGTATCATCTGTCTGGAAACATAAATTTAAACTTTAATCTGTTTATAAAGTCAATAAAAGTTCTATAATTTATCATGCATTTATTACATAAGATAATAAAAGCAGACTATCAGATCAAGAAATTATTTAAATGACTGATTCCCAAGCTTGTTACACTAATGGATACTGTTTGACACTCAAAATGTCATGCCTGCATTAAATGTAATATTTTAAATGGAAAGCTACTAATTATCTTCTCCTTAATATGCCTTTTCCTGCAACTTGCAGATCTAAAAAATTTATGACCCAGAGTCTTGAAATCTGTTTTGAGAATCTCTGAATTTCTAGTCTGTGAGATTGGGAATCTCTGACTGAATATCCAATTTAATTCTTACCACTGAATACTGTATTTCACTATGGACTAATACAACCTAAACTTTATTACAGCACCAATATTATAGTCAAGTACACCCATTATTTTTATTTAGAAACACGTCAGTGTTTTAATGACCTTTGTTCAAAACAAGTAACTTAATTCTTCTTATGAAATTGTGTTCTAACATACTTAAAATACAAGATATTCTAATGCCTCCAAAAATATTGGGCATTACTGTCATCAAAAATTTTCCAAAGTCCATTTTAAAAGGGTAGCAGTTAATCAATCAATAGTACAGATGATCACCCTAATATTTTGCTGTTATATTCTTAAGTGATTTGTTCTTTTCCTCAAGTCTGCATGAAAATAGATTGCTGTTCCAGTAATTGCACAGATACATACATACATTTAAAATTCTTTCAACAGTAATTTGGAGTTTTTTCACTAATATTTTCTATTGACTCCTGAATATCTGTAAGTGACTATCAAGATGCAAAAAACTTAAAATGTAGATCTACTTTATGACCAACTAGTGCAAACACCTGGGTGAATAACTTCTAAAATTATTTGAGGACAGTAATCTCATTATTTGCCCCATGGCCTCACTTGCTTTTTAACTGTTTGAGGAATCACAGTTTAAGACCCTTGAGGCTCTACAGAATCCAACTACCTGTGAAATGTGGTTATTTGTAGTTTGCAATATTCTAATTTTTCACTAAGCAAGTATTTGCCTTGTTAAGATTTTTGACTTTTACCTTTGTCTCCGTCTCCTGTTGATAAGACGAAACGATACCAACTTTGCATGCAATTTACCAACTCTACCCATTTTTGTAACTATGCCAGCACTCAAATATGCAGTTCCAAATTATAACGGACATGAGATACTGCTGAGATGATAAAATTAGTAAGACTGCCATACTACTGTGAATTTTGCTCATTATTATTTCCATGAAGTAAGACGGAATTATGTATTTTTTTTTTTAAATAATCGTTTCAGTGTCATGCACATCCTCATAAATACTTACTGCAGCTGCCCTTAAGGTTGAAAGGCAGAGATTCTGCTGGATTTTTTTTTTAGCTTAGCTTAGATAGTATTACAACACAACACACTCCAACAAGAGACATTCAGAAACTTCTCAAGGAGAAATAGTCTACTAAATTTTTCCCCCCAGCATTCTTCAAGTCAACTATCAGAACAAGTTCTCTTTCTTTAGCTTCTACCAGGCACAGAGAATCAGACCTTTGGTCAAGGTGAGAGGGCTGAAGGAAAACAGAAGGGCAATGATTAGATAAGACTCAAGAAATCAAAATGGACTCTGTGATAGCAGTATGGAGACAAAGGCCCACAGTACCTCCGAGTTCCACAACAACTGAAGTAGTTATTCCAGTTCCTGTCTTGAGTTCTTGACCTACACACTGCACCTAACCACGCAACTGGGTAACAGAACATATGCTTATTAAATATTCACTGCAAACAGCAAATTATAGCAATTACTTGAATCATACTTTACTAGAAATAAACAAAAAAACAAGTGAGATGATTTTTCTAAGTTTTTTTTTTTTCTTCTCCTTTAAGAAAAGGTAATGAAATCTAATTTCGCAAGAATTAAACTATACATTCTTTTGTCTTGCTTATAAAGTTGGGAAATTTAATATATTGCAAGGAGAATGTTTTAAGCATTTATACGGTTGGCATGTTGTAACTGTCTTAAGAGTATATAAATCCTGGCAATATTCCAGAAGAATTAAAAGTGGTAAAGTTTCAACGACAGATCATTTAAATAAACAAAAAACACATCTCCTTAACCTAAGCTGTTGCAAAAGTTGCAGTCCAGACCTGGTATGATAGAGGAGGCAGAAAAAGCCTTTGTAGAAAGGCTTGTTGTAACAAGCTCTTTTGTTAACAATATGCTGGGAATGCTTGTCCTCAAATAGCTCTTTTCAGAGCATGCACTTATGACCCCCTAAGCAGAAGCTTACTAAGACTAATCAACGCTGTTCACAGCAGAGCACTACTTCGCTTCATCTTTACAGAAACCAAAGTGAAACCAGGAATTAGATTAAACATCTGCCTTGTTTCTTACAACAGAGCTATATTGGCATAATTTAACACTTTAGTCTTTCTAAAGGTTTTATAAATTGTCTGAATGGACTTGCAAGCAACTCAATCTTGGGTCATGCAGTTTAAGGTTCTCTTGTTAGTCCTTCATGTTGTATTAAGAAGTTGCTTACCAGATTTTAACTTAGTACGTTAAAAAGTTATCTGCATTGCATGCAGGACAGTATTGTCTTGGTATGCCCTATGACAAGTCATATTAAGCCCACTAAACTTAACACGTTGTCTCCAGCAGGAGTGGTGCTTCTGGATACAGAAATATTCAAGAGTTTCCATTTCAAACTATGTTTCAACCAGGTTCTAACACACCCCATCTGATGGTGTATGTTCCTCTGCAGAAGACAGCTCTTTACATACTTAAAATAAAAACCACCACCAAAGAAGATATTAATAAGCAAAGTTTTGAAGGTAAAAGTTGACTTGTCACACATGGTGAACGGACGAGACTATGGTGACATGGTCGTACCTGTCCATACACCAAATGTCCCTGTGAACAGGGACAAGTACAAGACAAGCTTTCCAAAAGACTACTAACATACTTTCTCTGGTCAAATACTTATGAGTAAAAGACACATTTTAACAAACTCATTGTTATGAATGCAAGGTCACATTTTACAGCTCTGTGCATTTCAGAAACTAAGAGAGGCCAGCTTCCATGATCTGCCACTTCAGTGTACCATGTAGGCCTCCAGGATATGTAAAAGCTGTTTGAATAACGTTAGTGAATTGATACCACTTTTCTGGTGATTTAACCTGAATGTCTTTGCTTACTTCCTCCTGTGTAAGACTCCTAAAATATTATTTGAACATATTTAGACAAAAGCCAAGCATGTATAATACATACTTTGGTACAAGTATATGATATAAGCATAAAATACTGTCTGGAACAAATTCTTAGTATTTTCTGATTTGTATTCAGAATCTTTCTCATTTTCAAAAAAAAATTGAGTGATATTCTGTCAAACCCTCTAGGAGAAAACAAATGAATTTATAACATAAAAATATTTAAAATTGTTAAAGGGACTATAGCACCTCATCGAGGAATATCCAATACGTATACTTCTGTCAAATAGGTCATCCATTTTAGATATAAATCTCTACTTCACATTAATGAACAACTTCAAGAAAAAAGCCTGAATTCTGTTCTTTCATAGATATTGGAAAAGGAACCTAACAGCAGCTAAGCAGGCACACAGAACATCAATTTGATCAGCAATCTTGTGAAAAAACAACTACAAGGACTACAAAGGACATGCAACTTCCTGCCTGACTCAACCATGAAATAATCTTATCTTCACAAACTGCATGAAGCTTTCAAAATATTTAAATAACAGTAGATTTCTAGAACCAGATCTTGGAAGAACAGAATAAGGACTGGACCTTTATATAATTTCAATCTGCATGGTGCTACCACTCCATAAGTGGCCTTTATTTATTGTCACCAAGTCATCTCTTACCCTTGCACCTCACTTCTAATTTTACCATGGGAACAATTTAGAAGGACACCAGAAAACTTCAGTTGCAGAGAAACTTCAAAGATGCTTTCTATACATTTCATTAAAGCCTAATTCATTTGAAGACAGCATAGGACAAGGACAGATACAGATGCTTTACAAAACATTTCTAGTGAAAACAATGGAAGAAGCACAAACCACTGAGTACGAAAAATATTTTCACTATTAGAGAATAAAACACTCCAGCTAGGGTACTGTCTTTCAACCTTAAGGTCAATCTTACCAAGACTGGCAGAAAAAAACTCATACTCCCTGACTACTATGGAAGAGCTAAAAACAACTAAGATTTGGTTTTACCTCTAAGTCTTAACTGAACAAACTTCTGTACATTTGTCAAAACAAAATCTTCAGTCCTCTGAATTTTTACTGCAAATACCACGAAATATTTGCCCATTCTAAGCATAATAGTTACCTGATAAGCATACGGATAATTAAGATAAAAATAATAATTATTGTCTTAATGTATTTTGATTTTGGCTTCTATGATTATTAAGAATTAAGTCCTTAAAGCTTATTTTCACAAACAAATTCAGTTCATGTTTTATGAAAAAGGAACGGAAATGCTACTCTGCAGTTTACCAACCTCATCCCTTTATTTAAACAACTAGAAATTGCATGTGAAAGTTGCTCATGAAAAGGGAAAGTACCAAAGGTTGTGTAAATTTAACACTAAAACAGTAAAATGTCTGTGAAAGTTGATTAAAATAATCCAAGTAATACCCAGTTTGCATTAGTACTGCTTTTTTGACAAAGAAAAAAGTTACTTCTTGTCGCGTACCACAAACGCAAACACACCTTTGCTCATCATCTGGCCGTTTGATCAAATTGAACAGTATGTGGAGAAGCTGATCTCTCTCTTTGGGTTCAGGATGGAGGCAGGCTGTACACAGTATGAGTGGGATCAATTCCTAAAGAGTTGGGGTGGGGGAAAACCAAACAAAGTAAAAATGCTTTGGGCATGTATTCATTTCATGGCAAAAGAAACTAGACACATCTAGCTACACAAGACCAAAACACTTAGAGAAGACACTTTAAAGTCTTGATCTCTTACAAAGTGATTTGAAAAAACACGAAGCTGTTAAGAGTTAGAATGATTTTTATCCTCGGAAGAATTACAGAAAAGCAACATATAACATGAAAAACTCTGCCAAATTTGCAATTAACATATGCAGGTCTCCTGCAACTGGAGTTAGAGAGCAATTGCGTTTTAAATTTCCTTCATTACCTTCTGAATGGATGGAAGTTCCATAGAAGTCTTATGGATTTAAACATGGCTACTATGGAAAAGCTATTTGTGATGCCATGGAGTAAAAGATCAAACTTCCAATTAAGCACACACAGAGTTTTGTGTATGAGTTGGAATAAGCATCAAGAAACATATACACTGGGAAAGGTGACTGCAGACAAATATCCTCTATTTTATGACGGCTGAGAAATCCATGTTTTTTAAAAGGATTTGTTCCAATAATGAGGTAATATCTGAAGCTGAATTTTCCTTTTGGAAAAATTTTCAAGCAATTGAATTTCCTTAAAGAGCAAATGATCAAGAAAATACTGGATAAAACATTAACTGAAAGAAAATACAGGCTGTTGACAGCAGCAAAAACCTTTCCAAATATGCCTTCAAAATCTGGTGGTAGTAATTCCCAAAAGAAACAAACACCAGGTTTGAAAAATATGAAACTGGAAGTACCTTTCCCTGACCTCATTACTGTGAGCCCAGTTTAATCCCACTGGATTTGGAAGCCATGCAACTTCATGATTCTTATGGATTCTTATGGACAGAAATATCACAGTGGCGTGGAGGGAAAGGGAAGGAAAGAACAAGACACAGAAACTTAAGTGTTTGCTAAAAAAGTATGGACAAATAATCAGAAAACTTCCTCTCCTCTCCTCCCATGCCCCATTTTGAGCTACTTTGAACAGACGAACTCTTCGGGGGAATAAATAACCAGCAGTAAAAGATGACACAGGGAAACACTTCTGGAATTACTAGGTAAGATTATAAAAAACCCAGAAATTCTGAAATTGTTTGTAATAACTTTGTAGGCAGAGACAAGTTTCCTTTTAAGTATCAGACACAGCATGACACTCGCTCATACTTTAAAGTGATCTACTACTTTAGAGTGATCTATTTCCATGCACTTGAGAAGTAAGACTATCAAATATGGTGGTCATGAGGAAACAACATGAAAGAAACACTTCTTTTTTTCTGAATAGTTGCTCTTAATGTTTGATATGGAGCATTATTTAGTCAACTCCTGACAATCTCTTGTTTACATTTTATAAAAGTTGTACTTAACATGCTTCCTTCCCTCTGCTAAAGATGACCGAAACACACATCCTAAAATGGATTTAGAGAGATATTTTGGCAAGATTTAACAACCATGGTAGAGATTAAAGAATTTAGGATTAAACAGAGGAACGAGTGTAGAAATATCCTACCCACCACCTCAAAAAGTCTGAAAGTACGGGGGGGGGAAGGGGACAAATTTGAAGAACTTGGACTTTTTCTTCCCCCTCAGTATTTCAAAGTGAACTCTTTTTTTTTTTTTTTTTTTTTTTAAGCCTGAAGAGCTAAATTAATATCTTTTGTTTAAAGCTCTCTTCTCCCTAAGCTTTATGTTAGATTTTGTTCTTTGCATTCCTACCGTTCAGTTTTGCTACTACTAAGGTCCTGGAAGGCAAGGGTTTTAGCTATTCACTTGTTTTCTACTTTACAGAAGCATTCTCTCCTGTAAACACCCTGTCTTAACACAAAGATTCTAGCAATATTACAAACAAGACACTGCCATGATGATTCGGTGAACTCTAAATTACTGAAAGTTTTAATTTTATGTTAAACTAAGATACTTAAGAAGTCAGATTGTATTTTGCATATACAGAATCTAACGCATACAAAACAATTCTTTACTGTAAAGAATACAGTTAGAAAAAAAAAGGGTATACTAAATAATACTGTTCCTATACTGATACTCAGCTTTCTGAAATCACACTTCAAGTTCATATCAATTTTCCTGCTGTGGAAATTCTTTTCAGTGTTTTTAAACAGCAAATAGAGATTTTTTTTTTTTAAAAAAAGGAATATTTCCTGTGAAATGGAACATGTAGGTTTTTATGATTTGTGGTTATTTTTCTGTTGAAACTGTCACACAGACTCTACTTTCCTAGCTGGCTTAAGCAACAACTGAAAGTCTCAATAGCTCAGAGAACTACTGCAAGATTTCACAACATTGAAAATGCTTTTGTTGGTTTTAAACCTTTGGAAAATTACTAAGTTAATACGGTTGCCTTTTGCCAACAGAAAGGATAATGCCTATGAATATTCCCCTGGATACTAGCTTAGGCACGGAAGCCTGATGAGCAACCTAGAATCATTGACACGGGGCAGATACCAGGCTAATTCTTTACCTTGCAGAAAGGCAGTTATTAGAGCAGCTGGTTTGAGCTGTTCTTTCTCGTCCATTGGTGACACTTTCATGACTACTACGGGAGAAGGTGATGATCGCTGCATCAGTGCTGCTACAGCTCCGTCTAGCAAGGGGAGTGGAGAAGGAGTGAGAGGTCCCGAACAGCGTTCTGTGTGTTCCCTGCAGACTCCATGGAAAAGTAGGGTAAGCCTGGAGGCAGAAGGGGAGCTCAGCTGCTCTCACAAGTGAGCAGAATAGGTCAAGTCTCCCAAAGACTTAAAAGGGGACAGATTCTTCTTTAGATATTTTGAGTGTCTAAGAACATAGCTGAACACAAACATCCTACAGGCACAACCAAGTTCACTCCTCTCTTGTTAAGTGTCGTGCTTTAGACTGAGCCTTAATTAATAAATCTTGTATTTTTCACCAGCAAAACCAGCACAGAAGTGCTGTACCAAATGCTACATTTTTCAATAAGACAGAGCAGTGCAAGTGCTAGTGAGGGAGAAAAATCTAACAAGACTTATTGCTGTGGAGAATATATGTAGCAATCAGTAATCAAGGAGAGGGCTTCCAGTGCTATCTCATACATTCTGCCTTCCTTGGGAAGGAATACCACTTGTGCTGACAGTCGAGCGAGAAGCGAAAAATTAAAAGAAAATAAAAGAAAGAAAGAGAGAAAAGAAAGAAAAAAGAAAATAAAAACCCTCCTTTCTTGCTTTAATTAGGGATCTTGATGCCCTGTTCATCCCAAAGCTCCTTGTTTCCCTATTGCCTCTAACTTAGGAAAATGCAACTAACTCAGTCAGCAATACCAGAAAAAGTGGCTTTCAGGCACCAGACAACTGCTTTCTTAATAGAGAGAGAGTAAAATGCCATTATAAGATGCCTAGCACTTGTGACTTAGTGAATGAGCCTGGATATAAAATACCATGTGCCAGAGGTCTCACTTCCACCATTAAAAATATAAGTTTCTATTTGGGGCAGTCTGTGTCTGTGAACTACCCAAAGGAGAAAAGGGAGAAAAGAGATGCTTAATTGTTACCACGAGATAAGCTGCATATGGGTGATGCATGGAAAAGGCTACAAAGGTGACCTAACATTATGCTGAGGAAAAAGCACACCAAAACACTTTTGGGCAACACTTTTTTTTTTTTTTTAAAAAGTAATAAGTAGTATAAAAAGTAATATAAAGTCCATTATTGGAGCTTATACATGTTCTCAGCAAAGACAACGTTTACATGGACATGTGGACCTCCTACTTATTATGGTCAAAGGGAAGGCCACTTTTTAAAACAGTAACTGGTACTACCTCAATTAGATGCAAAACAATTCTGAATATAAATTGGATTAGAAAACTTCACTTTTTAAAAATATGCCCTTCCTATATCAAGCTTTTGTCTATTTTGCTGACAGTTTGCTTATACGGTAGCATGGTATTTTCAATCACAGTTGTTACCTACAGTATAATTTTCCTTTCACCATTCTAACAAAAGACTTGCACATCAAAGCTTCTCTGACTAATTAATGCTTTTATAATGGAGTATTCATAAAGCAAAGTAATTCTTTCAAATAATCAATTTAATTAGGGTAGGTTGCAAAAATGGTAACTTTAAAACCTTGAAAGTGTCATAAAAATCTTTCGTTATTTCCAATACTAAGTTTAATAATAGAGCAAACAGGCAAAAAAGAAGATATTAAGACCGCTTTTTTTGAAGGGTGCTTTTAAAATTTTCTTTAGTGTCAAAGCTTATATTATCAACCAGTATTACATGAAAATTTGCTTGTTACGTAGCCCTTGAAACCAAGTAGAGAAAATAACAGGACTGTTATAACTGAAATAGTTGGAGACAAAAAAATGACTAATACAGTAGCTTGTACAAGGAACTGTTTTTTTTTTTAGAATTCATCCTTTTCATTTTAAAATGACAAAAAAAAAGTAGCATTAGCACATGACTCCAAATGAGCATCAAAAATTTCTAAGATTAAAATTTCAATTTGAATGATGGGTCATGGGATAAGACTGCTATCCCAAGATCCAAACTCTCTCTCGCACAAAAATGTAGATACAGGCCTGAAAACACAACAAAACAAGAAAACTCATACTTCTTTATACCCACGGTTCATCTGGTAATCAGCATATAAAACCACTGCCATAAAACTAGTAGCGTTTGACAATTTAACTCATAAGCATTAAGTTCAACTTCTTGCAGAGAGCAGGTAAAGACTTGAGATTAAAGAGATGCTTTACAGTCTAGAACTATTTAATTCTAAGAAAACTAACGTAACCATTAATATCCAGGTAACAGGACTAAAGGTTTAAACTAAAAATTAGCTCTCTCTCTTACATGGTGAGATGGTGAGGGGAAAAAAACACAAACCAGAAGCAGCAGCTGAGGGCAGCAAGATACCTATTTCTTACAAAGCATGGTCCCTACCTCAACTTAAGTTTCAAAGAGCCAATATTTTATCCATTTTTCAAAGCTTTAAGACTGATCAAAATGTGCATCAGCCTCAACATATTTTAAGAGACAACTACATATAAAAAACAGCCAGAGAACTAAAGTGCCTCAATATGTCAATGCCTAGTTTCTATACAATAATGCGCATAACCTTAAATATACAGCTCTACTTTCTTCTAGTAGAGCCAATTCTAAGCCTGCAGTTTTGGCATTATATTACCTTCTTTTTGGAAAGAAGAAATAAAGTTCTACTGGTAAAAATTACCAATGCCATAAGGAAAGCAAAGAAAGAATTTAGCAGAGGACATTAAGTCCCTCATTAGTATCATGATTTTACTATGTTTTGCATAATGCAACTGAAAGCTTTAGGGCTGTAAAAAATCCCAGAAAGAGCAGATGAGTTCAAAGATGTATATACACACACGGGAAGTGTTTCTTGATTAAGAACAAGAGTAGTGAGATCCTGATACTAAGCCAAAAAGTTTCTTCCCGATCAAACTCTTCTGAGACTACATATTTCAGAGAATGGAAACTGCACACAAGCAAGGTACTCCTGTAAACTGACTGGAATATAAAGATTTTTATATCCTGTAAGGGTGGAAAAAACTGTTTGGAACTACTTTATACTAGAAGAAGTTTTATAAATAAAGAGAAACAATCTTTAATGTTGGCCAAAGAAGTTTAAGCGTGCTTTAAGTGGAAAAGACATACTTAAGGGCATAAAGTCCTTAAAGACATTTTTAAGAAAGTAGACTTCAATGCAAATGAAGTTCTTTTTAACCCCCCCAAACTATCAAGGAATTGTATGGAAAAATTACACAGAAACTGCTCATTTGCAAAAAACATTATCACAGACCACATATGCAAAGGTTTCTTTTTTTCTTTCTCTCTCCTGAAAGACAGATTTCTAGGATTTTGTTACTGCATTTCCATTAATACTGCAAGCTAATTGGAAATTATGGTATCTCACTTGTGTGTGAATGCATTCACATACAAATTTCAACATTCACAAATACATTTGCAAGCAGTTGCACTAAACTAGACAGTTATGATAGAAATAAAATTAAGTATCTCTATCAATACATAAAATTTTCATGACTACTAAGCATGTTTACGGGCATTAACATAAGTTTATTTTGGCCTTTTGAGCTGCTCCTTTAGAAATAATTAGAATTGTCTCTTCATTCATCATGTTCAATATTCCAAATTTTCCTTCTTTCTTATATTCCACCAGAACCCAATTAGAGATATCAAAGAACTACTAAAGCTGCACCAATCCACCAAGTAAACAAGTAACTTCAGAAATGCATCAGCCACTGACTGGTTGCTCAGATGTCAACTGTAATATCTACTAAAGCAACTACTACCAAAATCAGGCAGGCTGCTATGACTTTAAGAAGATGGAAGCCTTTGGTAGAAGAATTAAATCTTTTCTAAATGTTAACACCTACTTAAGAGGCTGTCAGCTTCCATATAAAGGCAGTTTCCCCAAAACAAAAATGCACAGCATAACAACTTCAACTTAATATGGGTCAACTGAAATAAATATGACAGAGACTTCAAGAGCAAAACAGATTTAGAGATAAATCTCTATACTTAAGACATGTATCACAAAAAATATGTTTAAATCTCTTTCTTGGAGCACAAACAGGGTAGGATCTTAAAAGCTACAATGCTATCGTATGCTTTCAGAGAAGACTGCTGATCTCTTTGTATTATAACCTAACCTTGTCAAGAATCTTTTTCCAGTTAGGATCTCTTGGTACACTATTACACCACTGATCTGTAAATTTGTGTAAAAGCTCTCCAAGGTCAACTTTTTGGGGGGGGGGCGGGGGGGGGGGGCGGCGAAGGCAAGGCTAACATTAACAGGAAGTCTACTCTTCAAATACCATGACTACATCCGAAAAAATGTTACAAAACTGATAGCCATGTGGAATAATAAGGATTAAGTACTTAAAACAATTTTTAAATCTGAGAAAAGGTAAGCATCTCATTCAAATCCAGTTTCACATTTCTCACTTGTGGAATCTTTGGATACTGGTGCACATAAGACAAAGATGCATGTAATCATATGTAACTTCAATTGTAAAACAAAGCATATAGGATATAGCCTAGAAGGTCACAAAAATATTAAGTGAATTACACAGATTATGCTACAAGCTGTAAAAAGAAGTCAAATACCACATCCTGCCAAGCAGAGGGAAGGAAAGGAATAAATAAGAAAAGAGAAATTAAGCACTGATCCTGGAACAATCACATTATTATTTTGGAAGAGTACTAGTACTAATAGAGCAATTTCCAGATCATCTAGCTAGAATGCCAAACAAAACCTCTTTTATAAAGCTTTTGAGACTTTCAAGATGTGGTGTCTCTCAATTTCAGTATGTCAACTTCTCATAACTACTTGTATGCTCTAAAATTTTGGATTATAGAATCAGTACAAAATTTCTTTTTCAAAGTCTCAGAATGCACGAAGTCTACCATACTGCAGGACCCCTAGACAAGAACTAAAACTTACTCAACAATGCTTGCAACTTTAAACTCCTTCTTTCAGTATTAAAAATAGGCCTACTGAATTTTTGCTTAATTATTTCATTACGTGCTTTTGATTACATGCAATATTCATAGCAAACCAGATTTTTCTTCTGTCTTTTATCATCTTCACTTTTTAAATTAGTAATGTGCAATGACCATGTAAAACAATAACTCCATTGACATTCAAAACAAACATTTCATAATTTTATTAAGCAGCATTACAGATTTAAGGAAAAAATATATATTTTTTTAAGGAGTAGGAGTAGGTTGTTTTGATGAACAACATGAGCTTGGCTGATACATGGAGCTTCTAGAGAAAGATAATATTTTTTATTCAAGTATGGAATGCTGTAAAAGAACTTGATCATTAATCCTTATTTAAACTAACAGACAAAATAAACCAATTTAATATTTGAAATTACGTATTAGTTAAAAAGAACTGGGGGTATGTTTACCATGGTCTTCTCTAACGTAATAACATTTGTGCTATAATGGACCTACAGTAACAGTTAGTCTTGCTTAATGCTAATGGGTGCCTTAAGCAAAAGGAGAAATATTAGGATATCATGCAGATTTACTGCACTCACCTGACAAAGGTGTAAAACCATTCTCTAGGAGCAGAGATGCATGCACAAACGTAAGAATATGATTGCAAGTAATAGATTTTCATGAAATAAAAGACAAGATCTTCAAAATCGAGATATGAAAACATCCTGGTAAAGATTTAAGAAAGAAAGAGAAAAGGAATAATTTAAAAAAAGTAAAGACGTTGCGGGGGTTCCTCACCTCTCGCTTTGCAAGTAGGACATTAGGAACAATGTGAGGCAGGCAGCGTCCCAACATTAACATAACACTTTTTTCACTGTCTGCAATCCGAGACACCTAGAAAAAGAAATAATTATTAAAAAAATGAAGAACACTGGAGCAGACTGAGTAATATCAAGGAAATATTTAATTTACACACACACAATAACCTGCAAGTTTTGGTTCTAAAAGTAGGCGTACCAACTCCAAAAGTATGAATTTGTTTGTAGAGATTCAAAGCTCCTGGTAATTACACAGCTACCACTTTTAAGCCAAATCTGAAAGCCTATCTTTATATCTGAAGTTTCACGCACATAAATTTATCTCTGTATATATGTTAATAAATCTCCTCACAAAATACTTATTGATGGATTAATTAGTCTCAGTATTGTGATAAAGAATTTTCTAGTTTATATCAACTGGAAGACATACCTCTGATCCCAAACGGCTGTCTGCTGACATCCGACAGAAAGACAGTAGTGCTTGATGGAAAGCTGCTGATAATTTCCTGAAATATTTTCAAAAGGGAGAGAGGGGAGAAAAAAAAAAAAAAAAAAAAAAAAAAAAAAAAAAAAAAAAAAGATAACAGATCAGAAAGATGACACTGACCAAGTCCTTTCATTCTGGGTTAATTGGCTATGTAGGATGATGACCATGATCTTTGTAATGCACACAGCAGAACTTTCGATTAAAACTATCTTCGACTCCTATGGTTTTTAGTTTGCAACAAGAAAAAAAAGTGGGTGTTCTACTTAACAAGTTACTTTTACTTCCTAACAATTTAGCAACTTGAAACTGCAACAGAACTAAAGCATGAAGAAAGTGAAGTTTTAGTAATACAACAGGACATTTTTTAAATGGAGGAAAATTCAGGAGTAAACAAACAGTATTTCTGCTCTGATTCAGCACAATGAGTAAAAACATATTAGCAGTCACTTGCAAGCTTCAGGGATTTTTTTTTAAGAAAAGAAAGGGGAAAAAAAAAAAAAAGGACAAGCTGCCAATTGGGAATTGAACTGTTGGGTTCAGATTTATAGTACCTCAAAACTAACCTTGAATGGCAAACCAATCCCTGAAGTGCATCGATATAATGATCACCTCAGAGTCATGTGCAATGCTAACATGGCCAAGCTACTGAGAACCTTAAACACATACAAGGGTTTCATACTCAAAACTATCTATTTGATGGAAAATAATTTGGCAGAAGTGTTCTCAGAAAATGTCACTAGACTGACCATTACATAAAATAGGCAAGTGTTAACAGCAGTGTCCTATTTTCCCCAGCAATTTACTGGACTGAGGCATCACATTTATAGTATGCCCCACAATCTTAACCAAGCAAATACTAAGAATCTTTCCATTTGCATATTTCAAGCTAAAGATATGAATATACCAGTGTTATTGTTTTGAGCCATAAAAAATAAATTATAAGAAGTGATAAATTCATTTATTAAAATCAAGTTTCCTTCTTGACAGTATTGGGTTTTGAAAACCTGGTTTAAGGAAGTCACTTTGTTTTAATTCACATCAGCTTGATTTTGTGAAAGGATCCACTAAAAATAACAGAAAAAAAAAAACAAACAAAAAAACAAATAGAAGACACACAGAGTAAAGAGTGGAAAAGAACCTTGGTTTAGTAGCAAGTTAGTCCTGAATTTGTTAAAGCATTTTTGAATGACAGATGAGACATTTAGAAGCTCTACTTTAAGATGTATTTACACTGAGAAGATGGAAAAAAGTCTTGCCAAGTAGGATAATAGTATTATAATAAACATCCTAAATCTTGTCTGTTTTATATCTCAGCCATTTTAGACATCCATAGAATCTTAAACTATTATCTGCTTGAAACCTTAATTAAAGAAACATATAAGGGCAAAGTTCTCTCCCTATTTTGCAAAGACTATAAACTAAGTATGACAATATGGCATTGAATTTCCTCTCGGGTTAATTAACAGCAAGCTCCAGGCAACACGGATTCCGTTATGATTGGTGGCTATATTTAGATTCTCAAAATCTTATCCTTGACGAAACCTAGTGAAATTTGTGAAGCAATGCCTGGCTGACAAGATGAAAAAAGGCCTTCTTCACACAAATCAGTAGAAACGCTTTTTTCAAGGACCCAAAGATGCCAGGAATGCAGATGTCAAAATATAGCAAAATATGATGAATATAAAAACTAAGCATCACTTATTTGATATGTAACAGAGGGGAAAAAATCAATTTGTTGAAAAATGTAAGAATCACTTCTACATATAGAAAAGCATCTTGTAATTACATCAAACCATTGAACACTTGAAAGTAAACGAAACAAATGCATGTTCAATTCAAACTACTGCTAGTGCTCTCTGCTGCAGCCTGTTATACAAGGCATTTTTTCTGTGCTTCCCATGTCCTCATTTTTGTGCATGTACACACATATGGGCTGAGCAGTCACACAAAGCAGCCTCACTTGTTCTTCCCATCTGGGCAAGGTTTATGCCAAGAATCCAATCTCTAGTTGCAATAACAACAATCTTGCCTTTTAGGATTCAATCTTAGGTTTCAACCGTTCTTTAAATAAATTCACTTTGTATTAACCATGTCAAGTCTTCTATGAACAACCACCTCCAGACTGAAGGCAATAATACCCAGGTTTACATAGTGCTTTTTCACCCACAGATCTCAAAATACTTTATAAACATTCTTAATGAAACAATTTCCTGTATTTTTACAAGACAAATTATATTTAAATCTAGAAAAGACAATATTTTTTTTTTCAATTTCAGCATTAATACCCTTCCTTGACATGGTAACACAAAATTCACGGCACATAAGAACTACATGTTATTTATTCAGCACATTGCCAAGCTTGTGAAATTAGATTCATTAATTTTAAGTTTTACTTCCACTCTTACATCCATGATGGACTTTAAAGTTTTGCCATTCTTCGAAACCAGATACTTAGAACCTATTTCTTCAATGAACAGTACATGGGTGGACTTCTGAAGTTACCAGGCTCAAGGGGGACTTAGGGCTTTATTCAATCACATTTCAACCTAACTCCACACATGGGTTTACTTGAAAAGACCTGCAAGCAGCAAAACAAGTGAAGCCTGTTTTCCTAGAGATTTCACCCCTAAATCCCAGCAATGTTCATACCTCCTTCGTCCATCAATGCTCTCACCCAGTTTTGGTATCTATGCTCTCCTTTCTCCAGCCTTCAGCTTAGCATTCACACAGTTCACCCTTCTACCTCTCCTGCCTACTTTGAGCAAACAAGAAGCTTGCAGTAAATCACAAGGAAAAGTAGCTGCACAAGTGTACAATGTATAAAAGGTTCAAATTTTGATAATTATATATCTAGACGCTCAGTTACGATATGGAAGAAGTATAAAAGCCAAACAACTCCAGCACCTCCAGAAAGCTTAAACAGAACTGCTGGAAAAATGAAACAATTTTTTTTTAAAATTTTTGTTGATCTCTGTTAAGTTCAGCCCGAAGAGGTGAATTTTGTAGTGTATTCTAGAATTTCAACTCATTTGGAAAGTAGATTTTCTTCACATTCTAACATTTCAGAAGTTATTGTTGAAAAACTGCTCACCGCTCCTCAAGAAAAAGGTATAAGAAATTAATGAAATCCAGGGAAAATATACTTAATTTTGAAAAAAAATTACTGACATGCTCACAATTTATTTTTTCACTCATTTGCTATCTAGATAGAATATATACACATGTAGTTTTGGACTTTGTATTATTTTTACATGGAAAATAATTCCAGAACAGCTGTCCTGTCTGTACTGACAGTAGTAAAGGGATGAGCAAAGGAAAGCTAAGGAAAAGCACAGAGCACAAAGAATGGTTACTAGTTTCCCTATAAACAACAACAACAAAAACATGGTCACCTACTCAGGCATTTTGTCCACACAGGCAATCTTAGGATCCTTATTAAGCTTTTTGCCCACATTACTCCTGTTACATACACAATGGCTTTATTTCTTATGCACTGAACAATTTACTTCCCTTCTCCACTGTAATGTTTAAAAGATCATGGATTGAAATGACCGTATCGAACACTGGGATTCCAGCAGACTAAAAAATAATGGAAGAGGCCTAAAAGGCAAAGCTGGACATACCTCTATATTTACTATGAGAAGTAACTGATGGAAAAGATATTTAAAAAGAAAATGCGGAGAAGGTCTTCTCAGTAGAAAAGGGCATGGTACTTCATATATCTCTATGGAGGTTACATTCATTAAAAATGTTAATTATTGACTTTCAGTTAGTGCAGCAAAAGTTGCATTTAACATCCTGTCAAATGGGTTTGGATTTAGTAAAAATGGGATTTGAAAACTGTACTTTAATTAAAAAAGAATCACAGCTTTCTAGTGCAGACCTGCCCCAAATTCCAAACTCAAACAGAAGAATGTCATCAAATACCCTTTCTACTTATTAAAAAAACAGCTCTGGAACAAGTTTTGTTAGGAAGGAAAAATTTGAGAATATCCTGTCCTTTCATTCACTGCTTTGATTTTAGCATATTTTTACTTACAAGAAACAAATGTGCATTTAGAAACAAACAGGAGGTAAAAACTGACCCTTAAAGTTAATACTGAAAATGTACCTTTGTTAAAGAGCACATTCCCTCAAAACTTTAGGAAGGGCATGAGTAAGCTTCAGCACTACAGCCTAAAGGCACACTACATTTTCCATTTGCATTCAAAACAAATCATCTATGAACGCTGAAGCACTACCCTTAGGAAGGCATCTATCCTCATTGCAAAAATTTGAAATTAAGGCCCTTCAATTTAAAACTTATCACTAACCTATTAGGTTTATCAAAGTGGACTGCAGCCTTAGCTGATGGAACATAAGAGGACATTTTTTGTCTTTCTTTAGAGGGCACAGAATTTAGTGTATCATCTTTAGAAGTCCTCGAATCCACCCCAGCTGATGCAGAAAGGTTTGTTCCCTCAGTGCTTCCATGTTTACTGTCATTCTCAGAGCTCTTGATGTCCAAGTACCGTCCATTGTCCTCTGAGACTGAGAGAGGCACTTGTTCTAAAGAGGGGTGGGGAGCTACATCACAAACTCTTGAAGCAGCAAAGTTGTCATTCTTGAGGAAATCGATTTCGCTAAAAAGGAAAAGCAAGGAATGGATTATTTTTTTGCAGGTTGTTAGAATCGCAAGACTAAAGCATGTATATAATGATAACTTACTAAACAGCTCTACGACTCTAATTCGTTGAGAAATTCCTTTAATAAAAATAACATGCATCACAAGCAGCTGTCCGAGTGAGCACTAGTTGAACAGAGTTCTTCACCAATCATCACTGCAGTAGAAAAAAGGTTGCACTCAAAATGAGTGAGCAAATGAAGTAACATGAGTTTTTAATCTGCTTCTGGCTGAACTCTGAGGACTGAGACACTAATTGTTTGGATATATACAACTATCTCGAGTGCAAATTCATACATCATGTATGAATTAATATATATACACCATCTCATCTGGCTTTAAAACAATAGCAGTGTGATTTGATAAAGAATCTGAAAAATTATATATTAGCCCATATTCTGTTTTGGTGCATCTCTTCGAGGAACGATAGCTTATAGAATCACATATTTTGAAGCAACTTCTAAGGCATTTTCTAAGACTATCATTCCTACCCGTCTCGCTCTGCAGAAAGTAAAATGGTATTGAAATAGGTTACTGAAACAAACACTTAGTTCTGAAAGTATTTGCAAGCTGTACACATTGCAGTATTCAGGAGTGAAGTAAAATTGACAGAAAAGCTAAGCAAATCACACCAAAACTGGCTTCTGTTTTCACAGGAATAAATAAATCAAGCACTTACACTGAAAGAATGACACTGATTACAAAAATAAACAATGTAGGTAAATAAAAAGGAAATAAGCAATTTGAAGTCTTTTTTTTTTCTCCAAACCAAATACTACATTAAAAAAAGAATGATTGCTCTGTCTTGAAGAGCCTATAGCAATTTTACAGATACGAATCCATGTATTTTAACAGATGGGCAAGAAAACCACTGAGCAGTTTTTCCAACATCTAACAGCACTGAGCAAATTGATAAGCACGTACCTCTCAAGTCTTTGGATTTTTTCCATCAAAGACCATTTCTCACTGTTTAACACATTAATTTCATCTTCTAGTTTCTGCACCAATAAACATTGCTAAACACAGAATAGAAATAAGAGTTTAGTTCAATGAAGTTAAGTAGTAACACAAAAATCTGAAGCATTTCTTCCATTCCTCCCTTACTTCTATTGATGGTGGTGTTGTTTCGAATATGGGAACATTCCCCATTATGGGAGTAGTAGCTTCTAATTCGTCTTCATCTACACCAACTGCTACATCCACTACATCTTTTGCAGTAACATGATGATTTCCAAAGTCACGATAGAGTTGTAACAGGTCAGGTGGTTTTGGAATGTTCAATCCTACATCATCCCACAGTTCAAAATCCTTGAGAAGGATAAGAGAATAAAAAGCTTACAATATATTCCCTTCCATTTTCATTTTCTTCCTTGCTTGAATGTAGATGTATATTCACAGAACAGCAAAAAAAACACAATAGGTTGTAATAAAGCAATAACTAAAACCTTCCACACATTTGATTTTTTTCCCATGAATGCCCGCCAACAAAGACATAAAACTGTCTGAAGAAAAATGCATCAAAGACTAGCTGTGCTCTGAAATATCTAACACAAACACAACTAAGAGCTTCTCCAAGAACATATTCAATGTCATAAGATGACAAAATTTACTCAGAGGATGACAAGCAATAAGCATATGTAATCATTACATACAAATCTGCTGAGTATGACTTAAGGAAAAGATGACATTCAAGATATTTTATCTGGATCCTTGAGTTAAATTTAAGGAGTTATAACTGAAAGATGTGTCCATCAGAAGCTGGAGAAAGCATATACTTGCACGTAACTCACAGCATAATTAAATGTGTGCAACAAAAGAATTAAAACAAAATGCAGTTATAAATATAAGCATCAAGTAGCACACCAGGAGAAGTACCAGAAACACTTTTGAATACTTTATTTGAAAGCAAAACAAGATAACAATACTTAAATATTGAGATTGCTTTCATCTTCTATGCTCTGTCACCTACAACTTTCGAGCAAAAATCTCAAACTGTTGTGCTTTGAAGCCATGCTTTATATATGAAAATGCTGACCAAAACGTTTTACACTTAAAGCACTTGAATGTGTACAGTTTTGCTGCAGTTGTTTCACATGCATACAGCTGCATGATACCCAAGTATCATTTAAGTTCACAAAATCTGAGCACGAAAGACAGGCAAGTAAAATGACACAAGGAAATCTTACCTGATCATGATTTTCATCTGAAAATGTTATTGATGTAAGCTTATAACTATTCTTCAATAAAAACTCATTAACTAGGAAGTTCAGAGCTCTTTTCTCAAGAGGTCTCATTGGCTCCTGGAGGGGAGAAAAAAAAAAAAAGAAAAAGAAAAAAAGAAAGAAAACAGTATCCAAAGTCTTAGGTTCATCTTCCTTCGGCATACAACGACTAGTACTGGGTAGCTGTATTGAAGTTCACTTACAACTCAGTTTTTCACCATCCACTTACCTGAATTTCAGGACTTGATTTATAATTTTTTCGTTCCTGCAAAGGAACTTCATTTTCTGAGGAGAAAAAGGGAAAAGTAGCTAAATTTACTCTTTCACACAGGATGAGTTCAACTACTACTACATGGTTCAAAGTAGAGACTTAAGAAAGGTTTATGTACACCACCTGCAGCCTGAGTCAGGTTGGCTCGGAGGGCCTGAATGGTCTCCTTGGCTTTCCGTAGTTCAAACTCCAGGACTGGACAGGGATTTGGATTAAACACACAGGCATCCAACCAAGGCAAGGGAAACAGAAATAAAATATAAAAAGCAAGGATGGGTGTGAAAAAAAATATACAGTTCATATTAAACAGAAAGCATGCAATCTTTATGGAACTCATGAACACATGCAGCAGAGTTGATCTGAAAGCAAACTGGCAAATGTTTTCCGGAGTTTTACTGTTCTTAAATTAGCTAAATCAAAATTTCAAGCTGTCTGACAAGGACTCGCTGTAAGGTTGTTTCTCTCCTCCACTTTTTAAAACCAAAAAATAGGTTTTTTTTAGCCTATTACTAAAAAAAGTTTATGTTTTTTTCCCCCTCATTCTTGCTCTCAAGAGATACTGTGATATCTAAAACTTCTTGGAGAGTGGGAGTACACAGAGATTCCAAGAGCACAAGTTTCATTACAACAAATACGTGGTGGCCCTGGAAGCTGTCTCCATGTGGCAAAGATGAATCAAAGTAATGATAGTATACTTCACTAAGACTACTGAATTTGTTTCAAAATAAAAATTGTGCACTGCAGTTTTACTACTTTAAATGACTACTACAGCATAGGTTTAACACCGTAATGTATTTCTTTACCAAGAACTACTAAATCTCCTTTAACAATTTTCTTTTTTTGCTATAAGTTTGCAGTAATGCTCTATAATCAATCAAAATTTTGAATTCAGCTGAATACATTTAGACATGTACAAGACAAAAAAAGGCACAACACGCTTTTCCACAGGACAGAAGCAGCTCACAAAGAAAATGTCATTGCTCCATTATTCTCAAAAGTTTCTAGTGAGTCTTGACCTATACTGCACTTTATCACCTAGAGTGTGCTTCAGAGATTTTAAAATATGAAATTGTAGCTGCCCTCCAAATTACTTCAGAATTTCTCATGTCCCAATGCTTCATCTAAAAAGGCCCAGGACTGCTTTCTCTTCACTGGAATCTCATGTGGTTTGATTTTAAGGTCACATCAAATTTTAAAACCTTGAATCTTCTGTAAAGATGCTTTTTATAGCCATTTGCACATGCGAGGGAGCCTATTTAGGGAATTACCAGATAATTTCTGTGCATCTCCTTAATTCTCAGATTACTCTAAACCCAAAAATCTAGCTACCAGAAAGAACTGATTCTTGTGATCAGCAAGAAAAGATACGCATTGCTACATCATGAATTATTAAACTATTCTAAATAATTATCTAACATTTACTTAACTTTGATTCCCAGGTAAAGCTAAAATTGTTGTAACTGCTTTTAATAAGAATAAATTAACCAAATTTTTAATTATTACCTGGGAAGAAGATTAACAAGTAATTCTGAAAGACTTATAAATGATTATGGACTTTTAGAAACATCGTGAGAAATGCAATTAAAAACTACAAATAAATCTGTTTCCATTTGAATTCTAAGGATCTTCTGGTTGTTAAAATGCATGGAGAAAAAAAAAAAAAAAAAGAGATTCACTTAGTTTGTATTTATCCATAAAAACTGAAGGAGTAATTACAGTACATCACTTTTACTTCTACATAGAAACTTGTTTGATGCACAGAATTCTACTGCAGCGGTATGAAAGCACAACTGAGAATATAATGAATAAAATCTGTAAAATAACTCTCTAGTATTCAGCAATGCCGATCTGCAAATATTTCTGTGCAACAAAGTTAGAAAATGTCCTTGCAGTAAAGCATCTAATAATTTCAACACGTTACACTTGAATTACTAATTAACAGCTAAAAATTCTAAGTTTAGGGTACTGATTTGTTATTTTTAAAATTGTTAAGATCTCAAATTCAGTGATTCTTTTAATGAAAATGACTGTGTTAGCATCTGCTTCTCTAATGATTTTTATCAAAGATCAGCACAGCTGCAGATCAGGAGTGCCCTGTATCAGAATGATATAAACAATTAAATAAAAAAGTAAAAAACAAACAAACAAACAAAAAAACAGAAATGAGAAAAACTCATTCATGTGAGACATATGACATATGACTGAAGCATAGAAAGCCAAAAAACTCATATCAGACAAATCCATGTCAGACGGCAAAAATTAATTTTCAATAAACTCTGATGCTGAAATCGGTTAAAAGACATTATGCCTTTACCCATTCAGTAGCTTAACGGGTAGCTTAATAATAGTAGCTTACTCTGCTGCATGTTTCCCTGCATACAGTAGAAGACTCTGAACACAGTGTATTTGAGAAGTTACTTTGCAGCTTGTCGCAACAGCCAGATCACCATCACCATTAGAGCAGTACCTCACAGTGACCACCACAACTCTCTTAATTGCCAGCATACAAAGCCAGCACACAAACCACTGCATCTTTACAGACACACAGGTTTTTATTTGAAGTTTGTTTACAATTGCTTTAAACGCATATATTTGTATATCCATAGATCATATTCTTGAAGGAAAATTTAAATAATGACTAAAAGTTCTTTATTTTAAAAGCTATGACAAAGTGCAATCTTCTGTCAAAACAATGATTTAACTCAACTCTTCCACATACTTGTGAGATCAACATTACTAATACCCATTTGCCGATTATCTAACATCCCCTTTAAAAATAAATACATAAAAAACAAGCTCTATCCCCTTTTCCTGTAACCATCCTCAAGTGCTCACTTTTAAAACTAACTGCCTGTTTTCTTTATCCTATAACATAAAATGTACATACATTCAGAGAGTTAACCCTCCCAATACATTGAAAAAAACAGTTAAGTTTCAACTGTATGTTTGGCTGAACTGATAACACATGCATTTCACAGTATTTGGTGGGGAGAGCTGATGCTCTTTAAGAATGATGCATGGAAAAGTTTTGTTGCAGACTGCCTAGGAGAGCAAAGAACGAGACCATCAGGAAAGCAGAGAGCAGAAATTTGGAGCTGTGAGGTTCACTAATGCTCCTATAAGAAAAGGACGCTGCTGTACAAAGCATTCTGCCTCAGGGAAAAGAATATGCCTTCTGAATTTAAATGGTTTACTTGCTTTTTCTTCTTATAAATAAATGAAATAATTACAGCTACCCATCTGAAAACAAAGCACTGAGCCTTTATCAGGTTACTGATTAAAAGAGCTGAATCTTTTAAGGAATCAACTAAGGATTAGGCCACGATTTTCGGACTAGCTATTTTTAAATACTTCAGTTTTTATATACAGCTAGTCTAATGCAATTTCAAAAGAGAAGCGCACATCAAGAGCAGGTGGCTTGTCTGCTCAGCTATGTTTAAAAAAAAAAAAGGCTTTTTCAATGATCGTACATATGTTACACATACACAAAAAAAATGTGGTTTGGGATATTAAAAAAAACAGCAATATATTGCTGGACCAAGGCAAAGAAGTTGAAGAAATAACTCATACTTTTTTTTGGGGG